CAAACAACAACGATTCAGCCAGCGGCGGCCAGACGTGGATTTGACTCATCCAGACCTCCTTGCCGCTTCTTCGTTCTGGTATGTGTGGCTACGTCGTTGGGTATTAGTGCGCGGGGGCTGGGCGCTGTTGCCATATGCCTGCGCGATAGCGTTCGACGCTGCACTGGAATTCCGTCGGGTGCAAAAAAAAATCGAACAGAGTAAATGTATCTACAGCAGTGCACCGCATTCGCAGCATCGCCGAGCACGCAGGACCCCGACCAAAGTACTGTAGCAGTTTCGGGCAGGCTGAAGCTTTTATTGCCGCACTACCACCCTTCCCTGTGCAGTGCAATTGATCCTGCACCTGCACCTACAGCAGTCCTGCTTCTCGTGGTGTGCTGCCTCTTGTCATAGGCTTAGAGAGGAAGGAAGAGGGGACCAGCGACGAGCGAAAAACACGCTCTCGCGGGACAACTGGTTCCGCTTCAACCATTACGTTTTTGGATTCTCGCAGGTACTGCTGTAGTTTATCCCCACGGAGCTTGTTATCCGAGGACTTGGATTTTGTGCTCTTCGTCGTGCGGAGGATTTCCGCCGATAAAAATTGTCATTGGCTTGGCAGAGTCTCTCAAGAGCGAGGTTCTACAGTAGGAAGTGGTCTACAGCGGTACTGCCCTTCACCAGTCTGTTGTCTTTTGTACGTAAAGTAGGTTGATTCATCGTCGGCTTCACTGAATAGTCTAGTGGCTTGCTCATGACATCAACGAGGGGAAACAAATGATGGTTTAGACTTAACAGCCTAGTTTAGTGTAGTCCTTCTTTGACGCTATGTAGTTACTGCCACCGTTTACGATTCTGGATGTGATCGATGTAGGCCGCTGCTAAAGAGACCAACCAGCGAAAAAAAAAGATAAAAAAACAAGGGATTTCCTTGGCGTCCGTTCGCCAGAAAGTCGTGGACTCTAAACGGCTTTGCTTGCCGCAGCTGTGCCGCACCCTTCATCTGTCCCAAAAAATAGAATGCAAATCCATCTCTACCGGTGGACACGAAGAGTCCAGAAAATTCGCGACGGATCAATGGGGTCACACGCCGGCTGTGTTTGTACGGAGTGCTCCCGCGAGAACATACTACCACGTCGGTGAGCGCAACAACATGTGTCGCGTGTGTGCTTCTCGGCCGGCCTTGCTCGCAGGGCAAATGCAAGTTCGGAGACTCCTGCACGTTTTCGCACGACCAGCGGGACGGGAGGCTGCCGGTGTGCAGCTTCTTCGAGAAGAACGGCAGCTGCCGTTACGGCGGCGATTGCAAGTTCCTTCACGGCAACGGCGGCAACAACGGCGAGGAGCGGCCTGCTTCGACAACGACAACTACCATCCTTCGGGCGGCCGCGGCCGGCGGCAGCGGCAGCGGCGGAGCAGGAGCAGGAGCAGCATCAGCGCAGCAACAACAGGAAGCGACAGCCCGCGCGGGTGCTAAAATCCCCACGCCGGTAGCTGGTGGAGCTCGCAGCGGTGATGCTGCTGCTGCTGCTGCGGCGGCGGCGGCGGTGGTGGCCGGCGAGGAGTCGCTGGCGGATTCGACTGAGGACAGGTGCGGGATATGCTTGGAGAACATCCCCGCCAAGGGGAAGCGCTTCGGCCTGCTCAACTGCGACCACGTGTACTGCCTCGGTGAGAGACAGAGTCTGGTGGTTGGCTGATGATCATTGGTGTGTGTAGGGTTGCATGTGTATGTGTCAGTTTGTTGCCGCCATGCGGCTGACGAGATGGAGTGCACCACCTTTACTTCCCATCAAATGAATAAACCTCATTATCTGAATGACTGAAGCGCCCGATAGCTTTCTAGACTGTTACTCTTCGTCGGAGGCAGTGTAGTACAAGAAATGTCAAGGCTTCACCATGGCAGGTTTTTTTCCAGGTTGTGTTTTTTGTCAAGATGAATTTATTGTCGAACATAATTTACCTTTCAACCTCGCTGTTCCCTGTCATAGGTACGGCAGGCTGATCGACTGGTATTTTTTGACACTGAAAGTTGGTCATATCTGTTTGGGAGTGCTCGGCAGAGTAGTGGTCGAAGTGGGGCCCGGGGGGGGTGACGCGGATGATACGGGTATGATGGACATGACGCGCGGGGCACCTTTTGCCTTCCTCATATCTGCGACTCGTTAATGACAGAAGGTCTTGAATGTCAAATTCTGTCCTCGCTCGGCCTCTGACGAACCTGCTGCACCCAAACACGACATATCAATCCATGGATATGTCGTTGATACCTCTTGTGTGTGCGTGCAGCGACTTCGTTAGAAGCCGAACGAGAATTAAGGTTGACTCAGGGCCTTGTATCAGCAAAAAGTGACAAGACATGAGGGAGGCAAGAGGTGGCCCGCGCGTCATGTCCATCATACCCATATCACGCGCGTAGCTCCCCCGACCCCCTCGCCGGAACCCCCGTAGACCAGTACTCTGCCGAGCATCCCCAAACATATCAATGCATAATTCATTTATGCAGGCAGAAGGCGCGGATTGCACTTGACGCTCTTCAAGCGACCTTCACAGGTAGAAACATCAATCGCTGCGGACCCGGGCTACGTGTACAACGATCTGCGTCTACACGTGTCTGTGACACAGTTACAAATGCGCTGTGCCCCCCCCCCCCCCCCCCCAATTTTGTCCATTTCCCTTAAAAACAAAATGTCTGTACCTTCCGAGGGCGTGTG